TCTATATTCTTTTGTTTTTCTTTACTATCAAATCAAATTTCTAACAGTACTTAAGTATGGTGTGAAGTTATAAATGCATACACGTGGATAGCCGCTTTGCCATATTTTGTCATGCACTGTAGTTGAAAAACCATGTAAGGTAACTAGAGCACAAGCAATGAGCTAAAGGAAAACAAACTGTAGCTTTCTTTAAACCACAACTAACGCTATTCTAAATGACAGAAGAAATCAGAGGCCGAGCCACAAAGTACTGAATTTCTTCTTTTAGCATTTGCAAATACAATTATTTTATTCGTTTTTACTCTGTATCCATAATTAATATTTGGTGCAGGTATGCAGTAGTTACAGGGGCAAACAAAGGGATTGGATTCGAAATATGCAGGCAGCTTGCTTCCCAGGGAGTAGTTGTGGTTTTGACTGCTAGAAATGAGAAGAGAGGGGTTGAAGCTCTAGAGAAGCTCAAAGGGTTAATTGGTTTGGCTAAAGAGAATGTGGTGTTTCAGCAGCTTGATGTTATGGATCCTTCCACTATTGCTTCTTTGGCTGAATTCATTAAGACCCAATTTGGCAGGCTTGATATCTTGGTAGAATCATAGCTATGTTCTTGATTTTAATTTCTTGTTTATGATCAAAATAATTTGGTAAGTGATAGAGCTGTGGGTATTTTCAGGTGAACAATGCAAGAATTGGTGGAGTCACTGCAGATGCTGATGCCCTTATAGCCAAACAAGAGTCCAGTGGAGTGAGCTCCTTTTTTATTACAATCATTCTATCACGTCTCAATACCAGAATAGGTGTCACTCCTATATATATGACAAGTATTTAGGGGTGGCAAACGGGCGGGGCGAGGCGAAAATGGGTAATGTAAAAACGAAAAAATTATCCAATCAGATCCATATTTAATACGGATAAAAACGGGTTAACCGGCGGATAATATGGATATTCATATTATCCTTGGCTTCTTGAATATGATCACTTTTGGGAGAATTTTTAGTCTCCTAAACTTGAGTTACTCCCAATTTGAGGCTTTACAAATGTAAAGTTAAACACATTAGTTATTCATTTTTAATTTGATAATTTGATTCTTATCCATATTTGATCCGTTTTTAAAAAGTTCATTATTTAACCTATTTTTTAATGTATAATATGGGTGAATAACTGTTTCTTTTAATCATTTTGTTAGTGCTACAAGTATTTAAGTTATATACATCGACAGATTTGTTACCATTTTTATGGGGTTGTCCGTTGATGCTTTATTACCTTTTTGTTTAATGAGTTGATTGTGTAAGTTACCAATTGATGCTTATTTAGCTGTAATTACCTGATAGCATAACTTATCCCTTAATTACAATTAGACACCTAACATAATGTATGTTAGGAATTTACAACCAGAGGAATTATCATAGTTAGGGCGACCCTTAAATTAACTACTACACCTCTCTTTGTACTAACTATTTGATTAAAGAGCAGAACATGGCTGTGAAATCTATTACTACTAGAATCAATTTACTATCAAGCAATAATCATGATTTGTAGCCATGTCTCTCTTTCTGGAAAATTCACCTTTTGACATGTACATTGTAATCAATCGAAACCAATATTTGCTTTAAACTTCATCTTTAGCACTCTTAATATTACAACTCTCTCTCCTATAGACAGGAGGATCTCAAGTCAATTGGAATAACATTTTGACTGAGTCATATGCGCTGGCAGAAGAGTGCCTGCAAACAAACTATTATGGTGTGAAGAGAATGACCGAAGCATTTATTCCACTGCTCCAATTATCTAATTCGCCTAGGATTGTCAACGTTTCTTCTTCCATGGGAAGGCTAAAAGTATTACTCTCCTCCTCCTGGAAATGGAACTTCTAATTTACTGGAATTTTATTTTGTTTAGCTCCTTTACTCTAAATTCTCTGAATATCTTGCAACTTTACTACTCAAATCACTTTTTTCACTTTTAGCCCACGCCATAAACTATTTACATTTGGTAGCTGAAAAAGTGTATAATTTTTGTATATAACATACAAAATGTATATATATACAAAACATTAGCCTAGGATATTTTTGAACACTTTGCTAGTCTGAATCCTATTAATAATACCCACCCAATGGTTGACAAGTTAGTTGTGCTTTCCTAGCTGCTAATTAACTCAAGGGACTTTCCATTACCTAACTGAAATTCCATTTGCAGAACTTGAAGCAGGAATGGGCTAAAGGAGTATTAAGTGAGAGTGATAACCTCACAGAGGAGAAAATACAAGAGGTTATTGAACAATATTTAAGGGAACCCTCCAAGCCAAGGGCTGTCATTCTCTCATGTCAGCCTACATACTCTCTAAAGCAGCGATGAATGCTTACTCGAGGGTCATGGCAAAGAAGCATCCGTATATACAGATCAATTGCGTCTGCCCTGGTTTTGTGAAAACAGATATGACTTACAACAGTGGGATATTGTCTATTGAACAAGGAGCCGAGAGTCCTGTAATGCTAGCTCTGCAGCCTGATGGCGCCGCTTCTGGCTTATTCTTTGTTAGGAAAAGAGTTTCATCTTCATTGTAACCGTGATAAATATGACACAATAACATGTAGTAATACATGTCCTTCAGCATATATTATGCTGGAGATTTTTAGGGGTCGTTTGGTACATCAGATAAGAATAATAATTAACTTTATCTCATGTTTGGTTTGGGGTATGAGCTAATCTCGAGATAACTTTCATAATATAGTGGTGGGATTTGTTATCCCATATAAAAGATGGGATAACTAATCTCATGGGATATCCCACCATTGTACCAAACGACCCCTAACAAGTGAGGAAGATTCGAGCTAATTCTGTCAGCTATGTTCGCGCCGTTGTGAATTTTTTGAATAAATTTACAAAGTAATCCTTTTATAAATTTAGTCAATGTAGAGATAAATTTTCACTCTATATATGCATACAAAAATTCATATAGTTTTGAAGTTATAAATGCTTTCACATGGAACTGTTATATAGTTTGTAACATTAAAAAGAAAATAAAAACGAACTTTAAGAGTGACCTTAGAAGTACGATTATAATGTAATTATCTTTATCTTATTTAAAATGATATCTATAGTGTCCCGTGGTGGTGAAAGTAGAATCTAAAAACTAACATTTAAATACTTGTCCATCAGTTTCCAAAGTACTTGAATAGGAAGACTCCTTAGTTAATCTACAAAGGGACATATCTGTTGTGGTAGGCTAGAACTTGTTCTGAGAAATTACAATTTCAATCTAAATTAATTGTTTATATTCTTACATATAGAAAAGAATTTCCACTTCAAATCATATGTTTGAATTTTGATGTATCTCATAAAAGCATTGTAATCTACCTCAAATCGGAGTGGTCACTTTATTAAGAAAAATGTGATAATATCACACTTACTTTAAGCCTTTCTCGATTTTCCTATATTCCTTTTTTTCTTCCGTCCCTTGTCAAATTTGTAACAGGACTCACTTTTGTCCCATAGGTATACTCTGAAGTCATAAATGTATACACGTGGATAGCCGCTTTGATGCACTACTGCTGAAAAGCCATGTAAGCTCACTAAGAGCACAAGCATATGAGCTAAAAGAAAATAAGGTCAAATTATACGCTGCCCCTATACTTGTCAGACTTTTTTTCTTAGACACTTTATTTAAGATTTAGAAAAGGGTTAAATATATCCTTCTGCTGACCGGGGTGCAAAATGTGTAATCGGTATCGGGTGGGTACCAAAGGAAGAATAGCCGATAATAGAGATTCAAAGGCTTGGAATGATAGAGTCTTTCTAAAATATTTTTAAAAAACTATTCATTTTTATGGCAAGCGTTGTCGTTCCGAATTATGACATGTTTAGAAGTTCTAAAGCTTGAACAAATACCTTAACTTTAGAGGAAAAAAATACTTTTAGCCAAAAAAAAACTTGGCCAAATAGGCTTATAGAATGAGAAAATCCTTCCATTTTGATATATATATATATATATATATATATATCAAAATGGAAGGATTTTCTCATTCTATAAGCCTTACTTGGAATCAAAAAGAAACTTGGCCAAATAAGCTTATACGAATGAGAAAATTCTTCTATTTTGATATATATATATATATAGGTGTAGATGTAAATATAGATGTACGCACACAATGTAACATATGACCAGGGCCGGCTCTAATGTTGTTCCAAGTAAGGCTTTTGCCTTAGGCCCCCAAATAAAAAAGAACACGAAAAGGAAAAAATCGAACAAGGCCCAGAATCAAGCGCCAAGCTAGGCGTTGCCTGGCCCTAGGCAAGGTCCATCGTGCGACAGAGTAGGCCTCACGAGCCAGTTGCCTGAATTGTTATGATAGCTACGTGCTATTGGATGGGCACAGGTGTGGGAATGAACCCACGTGCGGGCACCAGAAATTATTTATTCATGATCGGGTTATGCCCGGGCTCTTTTGAAGGCAAACTCACCGGAGTCTTTGCGCGCCCTAGACCCCAGGTATGCTGCAGCGCACGTCTATGACGAATTTTATTTGGAGGAAGTATACACATACCCGATTTTGGGTTCACCATTGACTTAAAGAGTTGTGATATATAGTAGTCTCTTACACATTATTTAAATATGTAAATATCCAAATTTATATAGTTTGACCCTTGTATACTAACAACTTTTACCTGAGTTTGTTAGAAAATTTCTAAATATAACTGTTCAAAAATAAAATTAAACAGTACAATAAAAATATCATATTCCTCCGGAGCCTACCAGCTCACATAATCTGTTGACCCCTTGGACGTTACCGTTTTTCACGTGGCAATTCTTTTAGCAAAGAGAAACCCCACGCGTTAAGTAATTGATTTACTTGAATTATTCAAAACCAGACAAATTTATTTATTGAAATTATTTAAATATATGATTCGTTATTCTATTTGGTCATTTCAAACCCGAAACAAATTTACTCTTATTTTTAAGAGAGGGTCACGTGTCACCTCCTTATTAAAAGACACATGCCCAATTAAAATATTCGGTCCTTTAAAAGGTTTTTACCCGAAATCCTTTGATTAATTTCATCCTTTTCAACACCAAAGTCATCAGAAGCTTCCTCAAGCTCAGCCACAGCCGAACTCTGAAAGCGGAGATTAGTCTTGAGCTCTCTCTCGAACCAAACGTTGGAAAGCTCAGTCAATTTCTGGTACTTGCAAATTTCACGGAGCGCCACTGTCCCTGGCCTGAATCTGTGAGGCTTCTTCACTCCTTCGGTTGCCGGAGCTGACTCTCTGACTGCTTTTCTGGCTAATTGCTTTCTCTGAGATTTCCCTTTGGTGGATTTTCGGGCAATTTGTTTTGTACGAGCCATTTGGGAATTAGGAGTTAAGGGATTTGGTTGAGAGAGTAATTGGATTTGTGAAGGATTTTGAGTTTGGAATGTAATGCCGCCTTAATATCCACCTCCACCTTCGGAGAGATATTTAAGCATAATCATTGACTAATCACCAAGAATTTTCAATGCTTGGGTTTAGAATCTTGAATTTCCAGTTAGAATTAGCAATGACATACATCATACTGGGCAAGTTTTTTCCCACCGCCACCACCACCACCATGGCTGCATTCTAAGAACTTGGGAAGTCCAAAAACTTCAGCTTTAGTAATTTCTTTAAGACCCATCGTAGTAAGAACTCTAATGGTGAGAATGAAGAATGAACAAAGTTCTACGCCTTTTTGTTCTCAAATGGGTTTGCCATTTTGCCTCAATTTTGTCCTAACTGAGTTCTCCGTTCAACATTATAAATTTTTGCTATTTTGCGAAAAAGGGGATGACTTAAATGACTAATGGGTTGTAGAGGCTTCATTTGTTATAACTATTGTATATCAACTTTTTTGTCCACAATCTTCGCCGGTTAAGGTAATAGTAAAAAGCAAAGTGAAGGAGATGAAAGAACCCATTGTTTGAACAAGAAAGGATGAAGGGCGAGTCGAGTTGGTGAGTTTGAACCGGGTAGATTACTTGGGCATACGTGGCCCTCCATAAAAATACGGGCAAATTATTTCATAGTATAACAATAGGGTTTGAAATGACCAAATAGTATAACGAAAAATATGTTTAAATAATTTTCGATAGTAGGGGATATATTTGATACTTTTTCGTTTAAAATTTGTTCCAATTGAACACTTACACTATTCAAAATTTGTATCCATTAAACACTTTTTGCTCATATGGCATAGTATGTGTGATACACAACTACCTTAAGAGTGTGAGATTTACTCCCTTCGTTCATTTTTACTCGTTCACTTTGAACTTTTCACGCCTCTTAAGAAATATTTTATCCGTTTTAATTTATGTGAACCTATTTTTTTTAGTCCGTAAAAGAGTGACCCCTTTCCTTATTTGAAAATAATTTACTTTTATGCAATGATTTATAGCCACACAAAATATATGTGTCATATTTTACACCATAAGTTCAAAAGTCTTCTCTCTTTTCTTAAACTCCGTGCTCAGTCAAATAGGTTCACATAAATTGAAACGAATAGATTAATAATTGTAGTATGTATTTTACTTTATAACCCCTAATAATGATAGCATTTCAAAATATCTTGGGAAATACTTTTGGAAATGAGTAACTATTGATAAGAATAAAATAAAATAAAAAGTTATCTTTATCTTGATTTGCTAAAATGGACAAGCAAAAATGAAAAAAAAAATTAGTATAATGGATAATTAAAAGTGAAAGAAGGGACTACTATTTTTAGCTTTTTGCTCTTTTTTTTAATCTATTTGTTATTCATTCTTCTTTGCCATAACTTCTCCACCAACCACCATTGGCGCCAGTGCCGTCGGCGCCGCCACCATAATCCACCTTTCTCTTCTTTCTTCAGTCACCTCACCTCCTCCACCAATACTGTCGCTTTATTTTCAGATTTGCCATTACCGCCACCGCCATGCCGCTTCTTCCTCCTTTTTCGAACCAGCTCCACCACCTTCTGCCATTATTGCCTGCTAACGCTACCACCACTCCAATCACCGTTTTCTTCATCTTTTTCAGATCTGAAAACCATCACTACTATCTCCTCCTTTTTCGTTAATTCTGACAACCACTACCATCTTGCTCGCCGGAAAATATGGAGACCCATTACTGCTACCACTCTCTTTTCTATCCTCCTTACCCTTTTCTTCCAAAAAATATTAAATAAAACTAAAAACATCAGACCTAAAATTACAAATGAATTAAATCTATAATATATATATTATAAGTGTGAAGACCCTAAGTCAAAGTTAAAAGATTAAAATATAGCTGAATGACCAAATTATCTTTTACCTAATGATTTATTTGAACTAACTTAATGTGGAGCAATTAATTAATTAGGTTAATCAACTTTAAGTCAAAAATTAATTTACAAATTTACTTTACCTTTACAATCAAATACTATTCCAATAGCATTGATGTACAAAGAGGTAAATGCACAATATTCTAATAAAGATAAAAATACAAAAAATTAAATTAAATAAATACAAATGTGGGACCGATAAGATGGTCAGCTTTTAGTAAGGCCTTTGGGTTTCTTACGGAATGGCGTATGTAAACTTGAGAATTTTATTTCTTCTCATTAATTACAACCTTTCAAAGTATAAAGAATATAACAATTATAATTCAAAAACTGTTATTCATGATGTTAATGAATTAGCTCATCCGTTGAAGAAAACCAACAGATATACAATTAAATTGTTAATAAATTATCACAAGCGATGAAGAAAATCATTAGACACTCGATAAAATTATTGCCAAAATAGTTCACACAAAATATAAGTGGATTTATGGCCAGCAAGGCTTGTATCAATATATATATATATTATTCATGCCCGAGCAGGAGTAGTACAGATAGAGGGTAAAGATATACATTCAAGCGTTAAAGCAGATGGTGTAGTCGAGCCCAAATGTTATCAGTCACAACCTAGATGTACTAGCACATTCACTTGCACTTCTTTTAAACTGGGGACACCATATTGGGCCATTATTTAGGTCGGTTTGCTGATATAAGATTGATATTTGCACGTGTTGCCTGTTTAGTTCTTATTCTTTCATTTTAGCATTGGAAATTTCTGTTAAATATATTTAGTATCTTATATGCACAAGAGCATTAAACTAGGCGATGAAGGCGGCAAAACAAGCAAGCTAAGTTATACGGAACCAGATCCAAGGAATGAATTATCTGGTGATTTTACAAGATTGTAAATAACAAAATCTGCTTGCACAACATATTTCGTTTAAAATATGGGTTAGATATTTCACTCATAAAAGTTGATTCTGATACCTTTTACATTTTAGTCATTATTTTCCTTGTCATCAATGGAACTGTTGTTTTAATGGGTCATGAAAAAGGAGAAGAGTGTTACCAATAAGTTGCAAACAAAATTTTGCAGTTGTTGCCACTCTACCCTGCCCCTTACCAAGTTTGTATCTTATTCCTAAGTTAATATTAGCGCATAAAAAAGGAAACTACTTCAACCACTCGAAGTGATCTCTTAATGCATGATCCACAAGGTCTTCATGGTACCTCTTCTTCCTGTTTCTGTCACGACCCGAAATTTCCACCTTCGGATCGTGATGGCGCATAATATTTCACTTGCTAGACAAGTCAACGTTAGAATAATAATAACCAATTTTTAAATAATTTTTAAATTTATTAATAACAAAGAACGATTGCGGAAGTAAAGTCTGGAATATAGTGAGTAATCCATAAAATAACGGTGTCTAAATACCATCCCAGAATTTAGTGTCACAAGTGCACGAGCTTCTAGAATAATACAAATAAGGGCCTGAATAAAATAAAGTTGTATGGAAATAAACACACAACTAAAGTAAAGTAGACGGGGACTTTAAAACTGCGGACGTCGTACAGTTATACCTCAAGTCTCCTCTGAGTAGCTGAAATCCGAGCAAGTCTATGGTACGCCGCTGGGACCAACTCCAAAATCTGCACAAGAAGTACAGAGTGTAGTATGAGTACAACTGACCCCATATACTGGTAAGTGCTGAGCCTAACCTCGACGAAGTAGTGACGAGGCTAAGGCCGGTCACTTACATTACCTGTACGCAATATTAGTAACAATAACAATAATAGAAATAAATCAGGTAACTCATTTATAATAATTGAAGCCAATTCACCAGTCATAACCAATTATCATTTCCATCAATTTTGTTGCAACGTGCAACCCGCTCTCACAATATATTCACATTCAATTTTGTTGCAACGTGCAACCCGCTCTCACAATATATTCATTTTCAATCCTCTCATATAATTATTTTTAATTAAGTATATATATTGACTTTTAAATAAGTCTATTGCGGCGTACAATTCGATCCCCCAAATATTGACTTTTAATAAGTCTGTTGCGGTGTGCAACCCGATCCTCCAATATGGACTTTTTAATAAGTTTGTTGCGGCGTGCAACCCAATCCTCCAATATATCCATTTGAATCAATTCTGTTGCGGTGTGTAACCCGATCCTCCAATATATCCATTTACCAATTCTTATAGAAGAAATTTCCCCAATAAATACAACAATTAATATAAAATTATAAGACAACAAGCATACAATAATTATGATTTAATTATGAAACAAACAATAACAAATAGCAAATTATTATGGAAATCAAGGAGAAAATAGGCAGTTTAATATTTAATATGCTAAATGTCAGATAAATATTAAGACACATAATTCAAATAGCATGTAACAATTAATGCAGGAATTCAAGAATTAATATTTGACAAAGAATAAGAGAGAAATAATTATTATAATAATTAATTCATGATTTAAAATTATTTATGATTTTTCAAGTAATTATGCAAACAATTAATTTGACGACATATAGACACTCGTCACCTCGCCTATACGTCGTTCACATGCATTTCACATAACAAATAATTTAAGAGTTCTATTCCCTCAAGTCAAGTTTAACCACGACACTTACCTCGCTTTGCAAATTCCAATCAACTACTCGGTCACAACTTTTCCTTTTAAATTTGTCTCCAAAAGCTTTATATTTATTCATAAACAATTCAATATTATCAATACGAATCATAAAAATTAATTCCATATAAATTTATTAATTTTTCGGATAAAAATCTGAAATTCATTAAAATATTCGATAATGGGACCCACGGCTCAAATCTCGGAAAAACTTACGAAATCCGAACACCCGTTTCGATACGAGTCCAACCATATAAAATTTATCAAATTCCGATGTCAAATGGACCAGCAAATCTTAAATTTTCGTTTTTGGAAGATTTTATAAAAATCTGGTTTTTCTTCCATAAATTTACGGATTCATGATATAAATGAGTATGAAATTATAAAATATAATTAATATAGGATAAGGAACACTTACCCCAATATTTTTCCGTGAAAATCGCCCAAGAATCGCCTTACCCGAGCTCAAAATTGAAAATGGTTGAAAATGGGTCGAAGCCCCATTTCCACAACTTAAGTTCTGTTTTTCAGATTTTTATTCATCGCGATCGCGAAAATTCGTTCGCGATCGCGTAGAACAAAATTTGCCCAGGTTTGTTTAACACTACGTGATCGCGTATAAGGTCATGCGATCGCAGAGAATAATTTCTCAGCCTTACGCGATCGCGTACAGGTTTATGCGATCGCGTAGAACAATTTCGGTGCTTCAACTTCTGCCTCATTCCTTCTT